AATTTCGTCAGTTATTAATCCCCGGCAACGACGCCAAAAACTTGATCGCTTGTAAATGTATATGTTAAGGCATGCAAATCTGTGCAAGTATACACAATCGATTCAAGTAATATAGGGTAAGTGAGTATCGTCTCCACATGGATTGGTCAAGAAATATATTTTTACCACAACTGGAACTAATGCCATAAACTAAGTCCTACTAAGTTGTCAACTAAAGAACTAATATTAATAAAACAAAAAGGCGATTTAATGAGTGCAGGAAAGTTTGGTCGAGACAAAATAAATATGCAGAATGCTAAAATAAATAAAACAAGATAAATGTTGATTTAAATCGAATGCAAACAACCTCACATAATCAGACATATCACAGAGCATTGATGCTAAACCCTTGTATAGTCAACAATTATTTCTAAGTCTAGAATGAATTATTATGACTTGCTCAAGCTGCCCGACAGGATTACTAGGTGTTTTTAGACGGTTGCTATGGCAAAACTCCTCAGCGTTAACTACAATCCGTTGTTGAAGCAATACCTCTCAACATAAACTATAGGCATTGTCTATCATACTCTAGCATCTATCCCTTTTATTCGATTGAAACCGCTTCTTATCTCTAAGGTTGACAAGTCAGAACTTCACCATCCCGGATTCATTCTATTTCTTACGTCGATCTATCTTAATTCTCTCGAATATAAGAATCACTATCTAGAAAAAAGGTTATCTCTCGATGCTCCTACAATGCCAAGACATGTTTTACCAAAACCCCATGCGATCTCTCGATGCTCTTACAATGTTAAGGAAAAATATTTAAACAATAAGGAAAACAATCATAAGCAAAACATAATTCATCATTCATAAAACATAAAAATATTGTTCAGGTAACACAAAGTTTAACACCAAGTAAGACATTCATGGTGCTATCAAAGATAATCCAAAATTCAACATTTAGTTCAACCCCAAATAGATAAAGAGTTAAACAAAAGAAGAACGACTCCCAAAACTGGGGGCTCTATCGCGACGATTCTGATCAGCACTATGCATGCCTTGGTGATCACCCTCTCTCGAGGCCTGATCACCGCTCTGCTAACGTCTGGTTATGGAGGACACCAAGGAAGGTCAGTGGGTAAACGGTGAAGAAGCACTACAGTTGCTTGCTCACGCCTTGGGTAAAGTTTTTCTCTCTTCTTCCTTGCCTTCTTTATTTGGCGGCTACGGCTCGTTATTTATAAGGAAAAATATCATAGGGCTTTGCATGCTTTTTGGAGTTTTCTTAAATAACTATTGTTAAATAAATGTCCAGACTTAAAAAGAAAAGACGACTGTCAGAATAACTAAGGCTTTCTTGCACGTGTAGGCCATCCAGTTGGCTTGTGACAGAGGTGGTTTCGTCACACCTACTTCAGACTTCCTCAGATAAACCTTGCTTCGGCGAGATAAATCTGCTCTCATCTGCTCCGTTGGCCTTTCCAAATTTATGTTGTCACGACTGAAATGTTCTTCCCCTGTAAGTTTCCTACACAAACACAATCCAAACAACCCTTTCTCCTCAGCAGCATCAGTCAAACCAAATAAATCCTGCCTAAGCAAAATTTATACACCACAAGCTAATGTAACCTATATGCAACTAAAATTCTATGCATAATTTATTTAGAAGAGCAATAACTTAAGTGAAAAGACTACATGGATAGTTTAATATTGAGAGTGGGGTTTAGTGAAATCAGATTAATGATTCAAAAATTTTGTTGAAAATGGTTAAAGTATGGTAAGAAATCGATAAATGAGATCAAATAGAAATTTTGGGGAAATTGAAGGATGATACATTAGGCTTAAAAATAATATTTCGCATGTTAAAGTGATGGAAAATAATATGGATCATTGGATTTGAAGGTTTAGTTTCATGTTTAATTTGGATTGTCGGATCAAAGTGGTAAGACTGCAATTTTTGGAAAGTTGCTTGGTAAAATTGGAAAAGGGTAAAATATTTTTTTCATTTTTAACTTTGGAAATATGATAAAGTTATGTGGATTGTATTATTGTAAATATCAAGGTTCATTAATGGTAAAATGGACATTTCTCATTAAATGAATATTTTATTCATTTAAGCTTAAATAAAGGTTAAATTAACATGAAATTAAATGAAAATTTCATGAAACTTAGGCCAATTTTCAACTCCATTTCATGCTCGCCATGACCTAAGTAAGAGAAATTTTATTTTTTATTTTGAGCAATTTCCTTTGGATTTTGGATCATGCCGTGAAATACAAAATTGTTATATTCGAAAAACGCTATCATTTGGTACCGTTATTGCTTGCTAATTTTGTTTGTGTTGAAAGATCTCAAATTTTAGGGTTTGTTTTCACATTTGGGTTTATGTAATTGATCAAGGATTTTTATGTTTTTGAGTTTTTAGAATCACATACAAGCGTGATTGATGATTAAAATCACTTGTGCATGGCTATATAAGCACATGTTGAATTTGATCAAATCCTAGCTTTATAGGAAAGAAGTGTTTTGATGAAATTTGATTAGGGCTTTGATTTTAGAGGTCTTGAAACGTTGAATTGAGGTTTATTTCATGTTCGAACCTAGTGAAAATCTTGAACCCTAAACTACATATCATTTGACCTTGAGGAAATAGGTTGGGGAAAATTGTGGAAAATTCTCATGGCTTAGAAATGATATTTGGAAGATTCTACAAGCCTGGAAAAATTTTAGGGTCATTTTTTAATTTTTAAAAAATTGAGGGATATTTTTGTCAATTTGAAACGTTATGGGATAATTGTGTAATTACTCAATAATTGATGTACATTTCTAGAAATTACTGTTTGAGGACTGAAATTGAAGTTAGAATGTGAAAGTTAGCCATTTTCAAAATTTGGCAAAGTTAAGTGCAAAATGGAAAATATTGAAAAGTTAGTGACTTAAGTGGTAAATATGGCAATGTTGAGGTATTGGACTGGAAATTAAATGCTGGGAAATTATTGGGCTTATTTGGGCTTGAATTGAAGAATTTATGACAAGAGCCCATTATAAATAAAAAGGAAAGATTAAAATTAAAATTAAAATAATTCAAAAATAATAGTACTTTAGAGTATTATTATTTTGTAAAAATGTTAGTAAGGATACTAACATTGTATTTTATCTTTGTATATGTGATTATGGATGCATGTGTAGATAGTGATCAAATTCGTGATACAAGCAAACCAAAAGTTGAGGAAAACTTTCAAGAATAGTTGGACTTCGTTAGTAAGGCATAATAGTGAGGCATATCAGGTGAGTGCATTTATTATGTATTTATATGATATGAGGACGACTTGCGATGAGTCAACCTCGAATGTTTTTATAAAAGCATGTTTTACCTTATTTTTAAATATTTTCCTAAAGTTTATAAAAATTATTTTTACAAATGATTTTAGGGTATGAACTTCCCTAAAACGAATGAATGTGTTTCATACAAATTACTATTTATTGATGGTTTGGAATAAATTTTTAACCTACAATTTGGATTTTAAAGCCTATTGTATTCACATGGAGAGTCATAGGTGCAATAATAATACCATAAATAAGGTGGTATTATGGTTGTACTTTGTGTACTGTAGCACTATGTATGTAATTACTATACTTGGTGTGACATGGATATCTATCAATTTTTTAGAAAATGCATTATTGTATTTTGGTACGAGTAATTTTTGTACTTGGAGTAGTACTTTGTGTACTATGGCACTTTATGTGAAAGGATGGTAATCATACGGAATTATAATTCCGAAAAGGGGTTAGAATTATATTATTGTGTACCTTGCATTCTCATTTGTCATACATTGGATGTGAATGGATATTTAGGAATATACCGATTTATAAGTATGCTAGGCATATGAAATACTATTTTGCAGGTTATTTGATGGAAAATTTGCCTATCAAGTCAGTTTTATTGTGGAAGTGGGCACCTTCATCTCTTATGATGGCTCTAGGTACTCCGAATCATGTGAATATGTTCTTGTGAAGGAACTTGAGAACGATCTTCGAGTCATTTCTTGGTGGTGCTATGGATTTTACCCACTTGTACACATAGTTCTATGCTAAGAGTATGTAAAGATCACCAAAGGATGATAGGAAGGGTCCCATGAAATCTATTCCCTAAACATTGAAGAGCTCTATCTCCAGAATGTTCTGTCATGGCATTTCATGACTCTTCGAAATGTTCCCAGTTCCTTAACATCAATCACACAATTTCTAGAACTCGTGTTCATATTTAAAAAGTGTGGGCCAATAAAATCTAGACTGTAGGATTTTTGCAGCAGTCCTAACACCTCCAAAGTGGCCTCTAGAAGGTGTGTTGTGGCAATGAAATAGAATATCCTATTGCTATTCTTTAGGGCCGCACCTCCTAATTACTTGATCATCACATTGCTAGAGTAAATAGGGCTCGTCCCACTGATAGTGTCACATATCATGTCTGAACTTCCTTCTATCCTTGGTATTTAAATAAGGAGGTAAAACACCACTAACAAGAAAGTTAACTATGTCAGCATAGCATGAACATGCCGCGATAGATAAAATTTTCTCATCAGGGAATTCTTCTTTGATTTCTACCTTGTCATGGCAGTCATTTATAATATTTAGCCTAGATAAATGATCAAAAACTTGATTTTTAGTTTCTTTTCTATCCTTAACTTGTAAATCAAATTTTTGCAATAGTATAATCCATCTAATAAGTATAGGTTTGGTATCATTTTTATTCACTAAGTATTTAATAGTTGTGTGATCGATATGCACAATAACCTTAGTGCCTATCAAGTATGTACTAAACTTATCAAAAGGAAATATCATGACAAGTAATTCTTTTTTAGTGGTTGTGTAGTTTATGTGTGCTTCATTAAGTGTGCGGCTAGAATAATAAATGACATGAAAAATTTTACCTCACCTTTGCCTGAGTACTACTTCCATGATGTAGTCACTTACATAGCATATCAGTTCAAAGGGAGCTATCTAATCAGGTGGGACAACTATGGCCCTGTGACAAGTATTTCCTTCAGCTCTGTAAACGCGTTGTAGTACTCCTTGTCAAACAGAAATGGTTGATTATGCTGTAGTAGAAAAGAGAAAGGCTTCAAAAATTTTTAGAAGTCTTTTATAAATCATCTGTAAAATTCAGCGTGTCTAAAGAAACTTCTTATTCCCTTTACGGTGGTGGACGGAGGTAATTTCACGATAACTTTAACATTGACTTTGTCAACCATGATTACCTTCTATGAAATCTTATGCCCTAACATTATTCATTCTGTCACCATGAAGTGACACTTTTCCCCATGGAGCACTAGATTGGCCTCCTTACAACTCTTCGGTACCTTTGCCAAGTTTCCAAGGCATTTATCAAAATTATCACCCGAGACGAAAAAATCATCCATGAAGATTTCTAAAAAGTCCTCCACCACATCTGAAAAAATGGCCATAATACACCTTTGAAATGTTTCTGGAGCATTACATAGTTCGAGTGACATCTTTCTGAAGGCATATATTCCATAAGGGCAGGTGAATGTGGTATTCTCCTATTCTTCTGGTTCCATGGTAATCTTATTATACATTAAGTATCCATTAAGGAAATAATAAAAAGAATTGTCTGCCAATCGATCTAGCATATGATCAATGAATGGGAAGGGGAAGTGATCCTTCTTCGTCGCCTGTTTTAGGTTTTAATAGTCCATACAAATCCTCCAACCCGTGACAGTCCTAGTTGGAAATAACTTGTTATTCTCATTGCTCACCACTGTCACACCTCCATTATTGGGAACATATTGCATCCGACTGACCCATGAACTATTGGAGATAGGGTAAATCACACCAGCATCAAGCCACTTGATGATTTCCTTCATCACCATTTGTTTCAATACCGGGTTAAGTCTTTATTGTGGTTCAATAGAATTATCATGGAAATCTTCTAACTGAATCTTGTGCATGTAGATTGTAAGGCTTATTCCCCTCAAATCTACCATAGTCCAACCTATAACTTTCTTATGTTATGTCAAGACATTTATCAAACTGTATTCTTTCTCAAGGGTTAGACTAGCAGATATTATAACAGGCAAAGTATCATCACTACCTAAATAAGAATACTTTTAATGTGATGTTAAATGTTTTACTTCCAAGGTAGGTACATTCTGTAGTGAATGTTTTTGAGGAACAGATTCACCAAAATCTAAAGGATCTGGTCTAGCTAAGAGGAAGATAGATTGATGCACATGTGAAGAAAAATCCTTGGGCTCCTCATTGCCTTATTCTTCAGTGAGCCTTTCGTAGTCTTTAAGCTGTAAAAAGTTGTTGTAGCAGAATTTTGTAGCCTCATCATCCACCATCGAGTCCACGTCCAATAAACTTTGGTATTCCATTGAGACATCTACATACTTAAATGTATTGAAGACATTGATGGTAACACTTTGATCAACTACTCGCGTGGTGAACTCTCATTTCTTGCAATCAATGAGAATACAACAAAATAGAAAAGGTTACCCATAATAGTGGACGCATTATTGTCGACCTCACAGTCGAGAATAAGAAAATTAGTAGGGATAACAAACTTGCCCACTTTCACTATGACATATTCAATTCTGCCCTCGAGACAAACATGAGATCGGTCAACTAGTTGTAGGATGGTGGTGGTAGGTCGAGCATTACCCATTCCAAGCTTCAAGAAAACGGACTTGGGCATCAAATTTACACTTGACCCCAGGTCACATAGGGCTCTCCCCACATATTTATCACCGAAAAAACAAGGAATAAAAAAGTTGCAAGGTTCTTTTCACATTGGCAGAAGTTTACTGAATGTAGAACAATAATCTTTCAATATGGTGACAGTTTCAAACTTTTCCACCTTCCTCTTCTTGGTGACAATGTCCTTGAGAAACTTAGCCTAAGTAGGCATCTAATCAATCAACTCTACATGCGAGACATTGATATATATAGCTGGTCAACGACGTTAATGAAGTTTTTTGAATTGGATGTCATCATTATTCTTCTTCATTCTTTGAGGAAAGGGCGTTGGGGGTCTGATTTCTTATATTGCAGGTGGGTGAACAACTTTTGTTGTGACATTAGTTTGCCCTCCATCAATAGGTTTACTCGTGGAACCCTCATCATTATCCTTCTCCACAGGTAATTCTTCTTGCACTTCAGGTTCTTGTTCATACTGCTGTGGTGGGGATCTACTTACTTCTTCCCCTAAATTTATCTCCTTGATTAAGTTGGGTACCACTCCTCATTGTAAGCGCACTACATTGCTTCTTTTTGTGAGGCTTAGTGACTTCAGTATCACTAGGAAGACTACTTTTTGGGTGAGCATGAATGCTGTAGCAATTTGGCCTACTTGGTTCTCGAATGTTCTCAAAGATGAGTCGTGGGTTTGCAACAAGGCTAATTGATTATGCAAAAGTGTACTGTGGAGTTTAATTTTCGATGAGTACTTATGAAATAAATCCATTGTTGAATCCATAAACTCTTGAATAGTAGCTTCAAGAGAGTTAGAATTTGAAGTAAAAGTCGAACCCTTGAAAACATTCTACCACGACATTTGTTGATGCTAAAATCCTGAAGGTAGAGAAATATTCTGATGTGACCTACTCAAGTTTCCTGCAGTGTTGTTGCTTACCCCTTGATTATCCTATGAAAAGTTAGGATGTTGATACAATCCTAGGTTATAAGTATTAGAATAGGTGTTATTGTTGCTTCGATTAAAATTCCTCATATAGTTGATGGACACTTGATTGTTAGGGAATTTACTCTCAGAGTTATTTCCATGGAAAAAGATACATGTAGAGCTGATTACCTTGACTTCCTTCACCTCGCTGGAATACTACCGATATTTTAATATATTTTTTATGGCAAAAAGTTGGTCGGACACTGAATCCTTAGCATCTAATTTGAATGTCCCATGTGTCTTCCTTCCTATTTCAAGCATTGAAGAGGGAAATTGATAGTCATCGTTGGCTATCTTGTCTAGTATGACAAAGGCCTCTTCAGGTGATTTGTCAAGAAAGTACCATTTACTGAAGCATCTAACATCATACGAGTGGGTGCATTGACTCCATTATAGAACATCAAGACTTGGGTCCAGTTGTGGAATCTGTGGTTAGTGCATTTGCAAATAAAACTTTTATAATGATCCTAACAGTCATACATCGATTCTTCATCAGCTTGATGAAAACTTGCTATGTCATTTCGAAGTTGAGCGTGTGTGTTAGGCAAATTATACCGCAACAAAAAGCTTTTATAAAGATTATCCCAGATTTCCATCGAGCCTAATGGAACTCCAAGAAGCAAAGCTCTTGCTCAATCACACAAAAAATAGAGGAACAACTTTAGCTTTACATATCTTCGTGCACTCCTTGTTGCCTGAATGTATCCTAAACTTCCAAGAAGACACAGATGTGTTGTTTTGCATCTTCGTTAGGCATGCCACGAAATTGGTTAATCGAGTTCAACATATTGAACATGACAGGTTAAGCTTAACGTGGGCCGCCTAAATATCAGGTGTTACGATCATTGGGTTGAGATCATCCAGAATAGGAGCTAAGCGACCTCAAATAGCTCTCGATCTCAGTATAAGTCATTCATTCTTGAATACTGTAGCATTTGGATTTGCAGGATCTTTAACTCGTTAAACACCTTGGTTTGGTGGATTGTTCATAACTCAATTAGAATATTAAATATGTTGTCTTCGATAAAATTAATTCTCAATTTATGGAACTAGAGGATAAAGTGGTTTCTCGATAGTTCTTCAGGTAATGCAACAGTCAAACCTGGAAAAAAAAAGTAAACAAAAAAAAGTATTGAAAAACAAAAACTAACTAAATTTTTTTGCTATAACGAAACTTTAAAAATAACCAACTGCCAATCCCTGAGAACTGTTCCAAAAACTTGATCACGTGTAAATATATAGTGTTGTGGCATGTAAATCTGTGCAAGTATACACAATCAATGCGAGTAATACAGTAGTGAGTGAGTATCGTCTCCACAGAGATTGGAGGTATTTTAAAAGTTAGATATAGTAAATTAAAACTGTCACGAATTAAAACTAAAACTAACAAATCTAAGTATAATGGTATAAACAAATGAAAAAGTATAAATGCGGTAGATAGTATGTATAAATCGTAATTGAATGTTATAACAAGAATTAAGTGAATGGAAGTGAAATTGCTATGGTGAAATTTGTTTAAAATTATAAAAGTATATCGAGACAATAATTTAAGTAAAATGCAAAAGTATGCCAAAACATGAAAATAATTTGAACTTTGGAAATGAGATAAGACTAGCAACCTCACATAATCAAGCTTCTATGGAGGTAAATGGTATGGATTTTCTATGGAAATATTATTCTATGCTAATGATCATCTCTGTTTCTATGAGTTTGCTACTTGACAGGATTTGCTAAAAATGCTTCTACAGTCTCTCAAGTAAAGAACCTGATAAAACTAATGTTACGGTAATACCTCTCAGCGTAAACGGTAACACTAGCTTAGCAACTAAGACCTATCTCTTTTAGTCGAATAAAACCCTCTCCTTATCTCTAAGGTGGGTTAGAACCTACCATCCCGGCTTGGCTCCCTTACTCACGTAGATCTAACCTAGCTCTCTCAACACATGGTATTTATACTTATAAAATGGATATCTACCCAAAGGTCTTACAAGACTAAACATATTATGCTATAGCAATTGGAAATCTCTCAAAATCTCTTATAATGCTACAACACATAAAGGAAAAAACAGTGAGCAAAACAACATTTAAAACATAAAAACATCTATCCATCCATTAACACGTAAAATATAATCATCCAACACAAATCTAACACCAAATAAGTAAGTTCATGTTGTGGCTAAGTTCATCCAAGAATATTCAAGTTTAGAACAAGCCCGAATAAGATAGAAAAATAAAGCATAGGTAGAAGAAGACTCCTAAATGAACTGTTACCGTGACTTAGCTCCACCGCCATGCACCACCATAGCAAGCTAGCCTCTCTAGAGGTCTAGCTGCTACCTCCCTTGAAGCTCAACTATGGAGGACACCAGGATGAAAAAGGAAGAAAAATATGGTAATGAGCAACCACCTTTCTCATGGTTAGCTCCTAAAGCTTTCCAAAAGTCTCCTTAAAATGTAGGGCACCTTAGTTATTTATAAAGGGAATATTTCTATGGTTTTGGGCTCAAGATTCCCTTTCTACCCTAGGTGACACCCTTCTCACATGAATTGACAATTATTTGTGGTGGTTGGTCCCAAATTTGTAGTAGGGTGGTGATTCACATGTGGTTGGATAGCTAAGCAAATATATTTTTGCTTTGTTGTCTTTTTTACTCCAGAGTATGTTGCACATCTTTCGCTGCGACAAATCTTTCAACTTTTTATCTCCATAATACTACAACAACAATTTCTCCAGCATGCCTCAGTAACCATGTTTTCTTCTTAAGCTTTCATTGTCTGTATAACCCAACAAAAGCAAGACATTTCCCTTAGCATTTTCAATACATTTATGACGTATAAAGACTTTACCATTAAATACAACTATATGACCAAAATGCACTCTAAATGCTATGACATGGGCTTTAAAACAAACAATAACCTGTAAAAAGGCACAAAATACAACATTTATATGGGGTTATCATGAGCCTTGTGATGCATGTGTCAAATATTCATTTGGATTTTGCTACCAAAATTGCTTGAGGGTTAGTATCAATGTTTCGAATTACTATTATAACTCATACTTGTCTAATTTTAAAATATTTTTTATTTTTAATTGGACAAGTATGTAGACTATGACCATGATAATGGTTGTGAGCATTTTTTAATTATTAGGCTAGATGAATTATATTTAAAATGATTTCTTTTTATTTTATTAAGCTATCAAGCTTAATTTTCAAATCAGTATTTTCTTTTTCAAACTCTTCAATTTTCACTTTTTAAAGCTCTAAATAATATTTAAAAACTTCATTTTGTTCAATCTAATTTAGCTTTCAAAAGAAAATCATTTTCATTTTCGAATTTACAAATCAATTTCTTATATTTGGAATTCATAGTCTCAAATTCCAAATATAATTAATAATAAGTATCTTATAACTCCTTAAGAATTTAATTCACTAGAGTTAGAAGATACCTTTGAATCATCTAGAATAACCATAAGGTAAAGATTAGTTACTTCATCTTCATCATTGGAATTATCCTCATCACTCCAAACAGCCACATATACCTCCCTCTTGTTAGATCCCTTATTCTTTAGAAGGGGACAATCATACTTGAAATGTCTCTTTCCTTTGCATCGAGGACCCCTTTTAGATTCATGTTTAACTTCATTTCCTTTAGAAGCAATGAATCATTGAAGAGCTTGGTCATCTCATTTTCTTCATCTACCTCTTTAATTGAGTCTTAATTACTCTTATTGGTGGACTTGAAGATGATTCACATTTCCTTTTTCTTTCTATTCTTATATTCATTCTCTTCTTAATTCTTTTGGAGTTTTATCTCATGGGTGAGCAATGATATGATGAGCTCATTAAGAATGAGCACTTTTTTTAGCTTCTTTAATGGTAGTTATCTTTTCTTCCCATGGTATTGATAAGGAAGAGAGCGTCTTTCTCACTACATTTTCAATGGGATATATCTTCCCAAATTTTTTATTTCCATTGATGATGGATATGAATCGATCAAACATCGAATGTATTCTTCATCATGCTTTATCTTGAAGTTCTCGTAGATGAGAGTGCGAATGCCAACTTTCGACTTCTTCATTTGGCTTGTTCCTTTATGAGTCACCTCCAACTTGTCCCAAATATCCTTAGTATTAGAGAATGAATATACTCTACTATATTCGTCTGGCCAAGAGAACAAAAGAGAATGTTCATGGCCTTGACATTGAGTTGGGCTAGCTTCCTATCATCACTACTCCATTCCGACCTATTTCTTAGAGGGGTGGGAGAACCACGATTATGCCATCCCAAAATGAAAGTTCAGTGACTTGAACGAAAAACATTGTCTTATTGTTCTAATATGAGTAGTTGGCACCACTGAAGTAGGGAAACCTTGTGATAGAGTGATAATCCTCATGATAGTAAGAGCCAGAAGTTGAAGTCACCTTCTCGGTAATGCCAGGAATTGATAAACTGCTTCTAGAATCTTCACAGGGTTGTTAAACAGTTAATTGTAACCCAATTTGACATTGATTTCTAGGATTAGTGGGGCTCTATAAATAAATGAAAATATGAAGAAAAAAATGAGTGAATTGAAATTTTGGGTGTGGAATGAATAAATATAAGAAAAAATACATAATGATTTAGTGTTGTTTTACTTTATCAACCAAAGTTTGCATTCACTCCCTTAACTCCACACTAAGAATTTCTAACAAATTCACTAATTTGTTCTTTCATTTTCTAGATGCTAGAGTAATTTTATAAACCCTATCTTTTTAAAGGTTAAGATAGAATCATTCCCCTTTTTACAAAGGATAAGAATTAAGATCACAAGATCGAATCCTAAAGATTTACAATTTAGCTCTAAATACTTGGGAATGAATCTAGACACTTTGGAAATGTATTTAGCCTTATTTTTGTCCAAAGGTGTGAATGACTCTTAGGCTGCCTTATCTTGCTTGTTTATGAGATAAAAAGAATTGAATGGAAGATTTGAATAGTTGTAATGCTCTTTCCATCCACTTTGGAGTGTAACATCTCATTCCATGCTGATTTATATCACTTATTTGTAATAATAAGTGAAATAATTCAGCCTTCATTTCATTCTCCCTTGGAGAATATGAACAACCTTCAAAAGAATGAAAATAAAGCCTTGAATGCAAATTTTGAATGCTTGTCATTTCATGTCTCCTTGTTAGAATGTGGAAAGCCTTCAAAAGATGATAAATAAGGCCTTGAATGCCTTGAATATGTGAACTAAGAAGGATTTCAATTGCTTGTCTCATAAAAGAATTCGAACAACCCTTGAGAAGGATTGATAATTCAACCTTGAATGCCATGAATGTGTGAATAAAGATGGCAATGATTGCATGAAAAAAAGAAGACCTTCAATTTCTTGTCTCCTTACTGCATTTGAAATGTATTCTCCTTGACTTGAACTCATCCGCGCGTCCCATGCACCTAGACACAAAGGTGGGTTTTATTTCAACTTTAATTAAAAACATGCATGAAAACAATTAAAAGCTAGCTTGTTCAGTAATCTAGTTAAATGAAAGAACTAATGTAATAAATGAACTAATGTATTCAATGAACCAGATGCATGAATAAAGTAGCTTACTAAATAATCTAAATACATAAATGAACTAATTCCCTAAATGAACTAGATGCTTAAATGCAATGTATGCTTTAATGAACAAAATACTTATTGAATGTAATGAATGTTATACAAACATTAAATTCTCATGCATAAGCAATGTAAAGTGTCCCTCCTTTTGTTCTTTTTCATGTTCCAAGCTTGAAATAATCAAATTTCTATAGCAGCTTAGAACTTCTTGGCCCTTGCAAGTGTGATGGGCCTACTTGGGTATTCTTACAGGTTGTTGCTATTGTGAATCACATTAATCCCTCTTTTTTTAAGGCTATTTGTCCCCAAATCATAAGGAGATAAGTCAACAACATTAAAAGTTGCACTAACAAAAAACTCGCCTGGGAGGTCTAATTGATAAGCATTGTCATTTATCATCTTGACTACCATATCCTTGAGGCATTAATTTGAACTTGTGTTGAGCCGAAAACCTTTCTTTTCTCATGTACATCCAATCCTCCAGCTCAAAGATTACTCGCTTACGACCCTTTTTCTCTTATTGCTCATATTACTTGGTTCATTTTCCAATGTTCTCCCGTACTTGTTGATAAAGATTTTTAACAAACTCAACCTTGTTGCAAGTTTGATCACATCTTGTCTTAGATTAACTCATTTATTCACCTCTACTTTGATTTCTTCTCTTGGTTTATAGTTAGTGACATCTTTATAAATGGCTTTAGGCTTTGTAACATTCTGATTAGGACATTAGCTGGTGCATGTCATTTTCCCAAGCAATGATAAAATCTAAAATCTGGATGTAAGTTGATTTTATTTGGAGTAGTCTTCTCTTTTGTCATGTACTCCCTTGACTGAGAAACTACGTCATCTCTTCTTGGTCTTTGACTCAAGTTAGATATTGATCCCGAATAGTGATTCACAACATTCCTTTCTCTTGAAATGGTTATAAATTCTTCCCTCCACAATCTTGACAACTCACAAACCATTGTTTTTGTTTGTAAATTGGGTGGACCACCTTCATTTTTTGTTGTCACCTTTCCTACAAAACCACAATTTTCTCTAGAATGACGAGACATAGTTAGTAAAAATAATGAAAGAAACTTCACCAACCTAAAAACCCCACCAAAACACTCCAAGAAAAGTCACTCCCATTCTTGTTTCATTTAGGATGACTTTTACCCTTGGCGAACACTCTTTCAAGTCCTTTTATAACTTCCTTAGTGCTACAAGGTGTTTCGCATGATTTATCTAAGAAAAAACTTTCATAGGTTGGTGATTTGAAATGAATTAAAGAGAAAATGGCTACAAATGAAGAAAATGGTGAGAATAGGCAAAATATTGTAAATCATCAAGTAAGAAAATTATGCAAATTCCTTCTCGAATATGATTTAAAGATGAAGAGAATTGCTCCCCCAGTCTTTAAAATTGTTTTCCTCGAAATTTTCTCTATTTTTCAAATTTTCTCAAAATTTGAGGTCATTCATGGAGGTATGCGTTTCTTTTATTCAGCAAGGTGTTCCAAAGGAAGAACTGAAGCAGAAACTATTTCCGTATTCAATGCATGATAAAGCACAAGTTTGGTTGAGTTCACTGCCACTAGGTGCTATAACATCCTGGAATGAATTAGCGCATAAATTCTTGTCACGATTCAACCCACCGAACATGAATGTTATACTTCGTAATGATTTAAATTCATTCAAGCAGTTGGAAGATGAAAGCTTGTATGAAGCATTGGAAAGATTTAAAGAATTGTTGTGGAAATGCCCCATGCATGGATTCCCACATTGGACTCAAATGAAGATGTTTTATAATGGGTTAAATATACACACTTGAATAGTGGTTGATGTTTTGATGAATGGTGTTTTGTTGGATAAGACATACAATTAAGCATACAATATCCTCGATCTCCACTAGTGATTGTCAATATCCTAATATGTGCAATACGTTTGGATGGCGTAATGATGCAGTAGTAGACTCTGAAGCTTTTAACTCTAGGGCATCTCAAATTTCATCATTGCCTGAAATGGTGAAGAAATTTCACAAACAAGGAGGACTGTATGAAGTCAAAACCGTATCTCTTATCACTTGCGTATATTACGGGGATGGCCATAATTTTGATGAATACCCTCAAAATTCAGAGTTAGTAATTATTAGAGGAATGATAATGCTTTTGGCAATACATACAATGGAAATTACAGAAATCATCCCAATCTTTCATGAAGAAGTTAAAAAGTTGCTAATCTACAGCACTAGTAGTATCAACAACGATATTATACTCAGCACAGTCAAATGCCATATCCATAGGCACAATAATGTGTTGATCAACCACAGCAAAGGTAGAACTACCAAGGTCAATCTTCAAACCAAACTTAAGCTTTAACAACTTTTGAAGCTATGAAGAAAGAATATATGGCTAGCCAATCTACTCGCCAAGGGCTATAGAAAATTAGATGGGACAAAAGGCTAATTCTTTAAATAATCGATTGCAAGGAACGCTTCCCAGTGACACTAAGAATCCCAAGAAAAATGGGAAAGATCATTGAAAGGCCATTACCACAAGAAGTAGAATTCATATTGAGGAACCAATTGAAGAACCAAGGAGAGATAATGAAGAAGCTCATAAGCATGGGAAATGGAAGAGCAAAGAATTTGAACCTGAATCGCATGAGAGTCAATTTACAACACCAGACGTAGGGCATAGTAGTAATTCAGAATCGTTGTCGATAGTAACCCCTGTTGCATTTGACGCTCAACCATCTTCAATGCCTCAACAACAACAACAAAAAATGCCTCCACCATTTCCAAAATGTTTCAATAAGACAAAATAAGATCAGTAATGCAAAGCTTTTATTGATGTTCTACGCCAACTCACAATTAACATTCCGTTTATTGAGGATTTAAAGCAAAACCCAAACTATATCAAATTCAAGAAGAAAGTTCTTTTGAAGAAACGAAAGCTTAGTGAGTTTGAAATAGTCGATCTTACTGAAGGTTGGAGTTATGGCTACAAGTTAATTGCCACTGAAGCTTAATGATCCAAGGAGTTTCATTATTCCTTGTAACATTGGTGACACATTTATAGGTAAAGCTTTATGTGATTTATGTGCTAGCATAAATCTAATGCTATTGTCAATGTTTTGGAAATTTAGGAGAGGTGAAGAAAGGGCCACTACAGTTTCTTTGTAACTTGTTGATCGCTCTATCGTGCATCATAGTCGTATTGTGGACAACATGCTTGTGAGAGTAGACAAGTTTAGTTTCCTACATACTTCATCATTTTAGACTGTAAAGGGGACAAAGACGTTCCAATTATTCTTGGCCGCCAATTTTTTTGCTACAGGGTAAACTTTAATTGATGTTGAAAAGGGCTTGAACGATGAACATGTTACTTTTAATGTTTGAATAATGTTTCTTATATAGATGAAAATGATGATTTTTTTTTACTTGATGTGATTGACATTTTTGTACAGGATAATTTGGAAGAATTCTATGGCCCAGATACAACGCTACATGATTCAGTGTCATTTGAGGAATTCTTGACTGATGAAGAAGAAGGATGATGTAGCAAGTATCTGCTGAACATCGAACCCTTACAAATGATTAATCATACTCTTCAAGCACAAAATCCATCTATAGAAAAACCACCAAAGGTTGAATTGAAACTTGTACCCGATCATTTGAAATATGCTTACCTTGGATAAAATGAGACATTGCAAGTCATTGTGGCAGTACAACTTACAGCATCACAAGAAGCATAACTAATTGATGTGAAACAGTAAAGGAAAGTTATTGTGTGTAACATTTATGATATAAAAAGCATTAGTCCATCATTTTGCATGCATAAAATTCTTTTGGAGGATCCCAATAGTAGCTCAATTGAACATCAATGACGATTAAATCCGATAATGAAATAAAAGTGGTTAAGAATAAGATTATTAGACAGTTGGATGTTGGGGCGATTACCTCTTTTAGAAAGCAATTAGGTTAGTCATGTGCAATGTGTACCAAAGAAATGTTACATTATTGTGGTGAAAAATGATAAAAATGAATTAAATCCAACAAGAACTGATACTAGTTAGAGAATATGCACGGACTATAGGAAGCTTAACAAAGTAAAAGGGAAAGACCACTTCCCATTTTCATTTATTGACCAAATGCTAGTTTGACTTGTTATTAATGTTTTTATTGTTTTTTGGAGGGGTATAGTGGTAACAGTAAAGTTGCTATAGCTCTAGAGGACCAGGATGGTACTTTGCTTTTCGAAGAATGCCATTTAGGTTATGTAATGCTCCAACGACATCCCAATGATGTATGATGTCCATTTTCTCTGATATGATTAAAGAATATCCTGAGATTTTTATGGATGATTTTTCAATATTTGGATAAGACTTTGAGAAGTGTTTGAACAATTTGGCTACAGTTTTGAGAAGATGTGAGGAGACCAACTTAGTTTTGAATTGGGAAAAATGCCATTTTGTGGTCATGGAAGGTATAGTGCTAGGGTATCAAATTTCAAGCTGTGGCATTGAAATGGATAATAAAAAGTATAGGTTATTGAAAAATTACCACCATCTACTAATGTGAATGCATTTTGAAGCTTTATTGGTCATGTTTGTTTCTATAGAAGGTTTATTAAAGACTTCACTCGAATTCCAAAGCCATTGTGTTCATTGTTGGAGCAAAATAAGAACTTTATTATTAACGAAGAACTGCTACAATCCTTTGAGAGAATAAAGAAAACGCTAGTGAATTCCCCTATTATTATGGAACCTTATTGGAATTTACCCTTTGAATTAGCATGTGATGCTAGTGATTTTATCGTATGAGCAGTGCAGGGGCAACAAAAGGATAAAATGTTTCACGCAATACATTATGCAAGTATGACATTAAATGAAGCCCAAGTTAACTACACAACAACTGAAAAAGACTTACTCATTGTGGTGTTTGCTTTTGACAATTTATTTTCATATCTGGTGGGCACGAGAGTGATTGTTTATACCGATCATCAAGCGCTTAAGCATTTATTTGCAAAGAATGATGCATAACCTCATTTGATTCGATGGGTACTATAACTCCAAGTATTTGAAATTGAAATTCGGGACAAAAAAGGATCTGAAGATCAAGTGGATGATCACTTATCTAGGTTAGAATATGGTAGTGAAGATGGCAGCATTTTAGTATTTACAGATGAATTCCCTGATGAGCATTTGTTAGTCGCTACAAATTACCGTGGTATGCTGATTTTGTAAACTATGTAGTTAGTGAGATGATGCCACCCGATCTTAATTATTAAGGTCAAAGGAAATTCATGAAGGATGTAAAGTAATAACATTGGGATGAGTTGTATTTATTTAAGCAATGAAATGATCAACTTGATCAACTTATGTAGTGATGTATCTCTTAATGTGGACATCAAAGCATCTTACAACATTGTAATAGTGTCCCGTGTGGAGGACATTTAGGTGGTATACGTACAACATCAAAAGTACTTCAATGTGGATATTATTGGCCATCACTTTTTAAAGATGCCAATGAATTTGTAAAACATTGTGATCACTGCCAACGAATAAGGAATATTTCTCAGAAAAATGAAATGCCAGTGCAACATATCTTGGAGATCGAGCTATTTTATGTTTGGAGATTAGATTTTATGGGTTCATACCCTTCTTCAAGTGGCAACTTTTTTATTTTAGTTATTGTAGACTATGTATCCAAATGGGTTAAAGTTGTAGCTTTTCCAAACAACAATGCTAAACAGTGTTTCGATTCTTACACAAATACATTTTCACTCGTTTTGGAACCCCTTGTTCATTTATCAATGATGAAGGATCTCAATTTATTGGTCATCAGGTTGCCATAGAATTGAATAGATATGAAGTGAAGTGAAGCATAATATTGCTACAGCATATCATCCATAGTATAATGGTCAAGTTGAGGTATCTAGCTGAGAAATCAAGCAAATTCTTGAGAAAATAGCGAACCTTTCTAGAAAAGATTGCTCTCAACACCTTGAAGAAATATTATGGGCTTATAGGACTGTCTACAAGACTCCATTAGGGATTTCCCCTTATCGTCTTGTTTATGGAAAAGCTTGTCATTTATCGGTGGAGATGGAGTATAAAGCTGTGTGGACATTAAAGAGGTTGAACTTTGATCTTGATGTTGCAAGCGAGAAACGAATGTTAGAGCTTAATGAGTTGGAGGATCTCCGAAATAATGTATATAAGAGTTAAGTATTTATGAAGATAGATAAAAAAATGGCATGATCAAAATATTTTTCTAGGGGAGGTCATTGTTTGACAACAAGTGTTGTTATTTAATTCGAGACTAAAGTTATTCCCTGGGAATTTGTACTCTCGTTGGTCATGCACTTTTAAAGTTCTTGAAGTTTTCCCTCATGGTAAAGTATTACTAAAGAATTTAATGGATAGAAGCACATCTAAAGTCAATGGGCAACATTTAAAGTATTATTGCCAGCAACAAAGCCCTAGCAGTGCTTCAATCACACTAAGTGATCCCCTTTCTTTTTGATGTTTTTTTTAATAAGTCAATTCTTTTGACATTTATTTTTCAGTTTTATGTTCCTTATTTCTTTATGTATAAGTATTTTTCTTTTGATCATTCTCATATAGTTATTTTATGTTGCACAGCTCTTCAAATTATGATGTGCGTTCATCACTGTACTAAAGCCATAACAATACAAGGATAACCAACAAGTTCTAACGATAAAACTCAGTATGAATTGTTTACCATTTACCCCTCTTTCATTTTTACCATC